ATACCACAGAGTTATAGCAGCAGACACATCTCTAGGACAACTGTTAAGAGGAGACTATGTGAATCAGGCCTTCATGGTAAAATAGCTGCTAGGAAACCAATGCTAAGGACAGGCAACAAACAGAAGAGACTTGCTTGGGCTAACGAACATAAGGATTGCAGAAAAGATGAACTACCACAGCATCTTGCAGCGGCATGCTATTCCATCTGGTTTCCGTTAATTTGGACCATTATTTATTTTTCAACAGGACAATGACTCCAAACTCACCTCCAGGGCCTGTAAGGGCTATTTAACCAAGAAGAAGAGTAATAGGGTGCTGCGCCACATGACCTGGCCTCCACAATCACTAGACCTGAACCCAATCGAGATGTTTTGGGGTGAGCTGGACCGCAGAGTACAGGCAAAAGGGCCAACAAGTGCTGAGCATCTCTGGGAACTCCTCCAAGACTGTTAGAAGACCATTTCAATTCATTTTATTTCAATTCAGTTTATTTATATAGCGCCAATTTACAACACAAGTCATCTCAAGGCACTTTACAGTTCAACCAGATCATACAGTCAAATTGATTCAAAGTTTTCTATCTAAGGAAAACCAGTTGATTGCATTGACCCAAATACTCATTGACTCATTGACAGCAATCCCTCACACTAAGCATGCTTGTAGCGACAGTGGAGAGGAAAAACACCCTTTTAACAGGAAGAAACCTCCAGCAGAACCAGGCTCAGTGTGAGCGGCCATCTGCTGAGGCCGACTGGGGTTCAAGGAGACAGAAGCAGAGATACAAAAAGCAGCTGTAAAAGGCGGCCCTGTTAGGGAAAAACACAGCCAGGCAGACGAGCTCCAAGCCAGCTCCCATGTCAGAGGACGAAGAGAGCACATCCACTCAGTCACGGTCAGAGAAACAGGACCACACTGGAAAACAGGCAGATCTTCAGCATCTATAAACAAGGGTATTGATGGAAGCAGCACAGCTGATATTCTTCTCCTGGATGGAGTCACAGCCAAACAGGAACAGACGAGGCATTTCAGGTGACCACCTCTGGAAGAGAATTCCAAGAGTGTGCGAAGCAGTAATCAAAGCAAAAGGTGGCTACTTTGAAGAACCTAGAACGTAGGTCTTCAACAGGGGGTCCGTGACCCCTAGGGGGTCCATGGAGGTACTGCACGGGGGTCGCAAAAATTTTGGTTGATTCGTTTTTTTTTTATATTCCACCTGAATTTTTTTTACACTAATTGAAATGTCTTTTCACACAGGAGCTCTTTCAAGCTGGGCACAGTTTCATTCACAACACCTGTCCCATCAACCAGGAATCAGAAATACTTTAATAATCCCAGGGAGGGATTACTTTCGTTGACTCCATCTGTAATAGAGTGACCATAGGCAGGTTTAATATCACACAATTTCATACAGTATATATAATTAGGGGGTCCCTGCTCCATTTCACCATCAGTTTGGGGGTCCTCAGCCTGGAAAACGTTGCAGACCCCTAACCTAGAATATAACACATATTTTCAGTATATGATTCCACATGTGTTAATTCATAGTTTTGATGCCTTCAGTGTGAAACATAAATTTTCATAGTTATGAAAATAAAGAAAACTCTTTGAATGAGAAGGTGTGTCCAAACTTGTGGTCTGTACCGTATATACGATATCTTCTCCATATGCTGATTATGACAGTTATCTAAATAGTCCCCATTATGCACACTAGCAAATTTATTTCCTATTGCATTAGGTTTTATTTATTTTTAAACATACTTGTTTTAAATGAGCCAGAAATTGTTATTAATATTTCACTCTCTCAGGAAAATATGCCACTTTGATTCAAATCTTTCAGGAATTAATTATTTATTTTTGCAAATCTATAATTTAAGGTAATAAACTCATTGCTTTTATATATTTTAGTTGCATTTTCCAAACTATATCCCATATATTTGGTTAACTGTAAGGTTTATTTATTTTAAACACTCAAGGGATGAAAATTGCTGATTTCATTGTTCATATGTTTTAATGATATACATGTGTATTAATATTTCTGGAGGAAAGGAAAATCAATTTCTCTTAGTTTTTCATTTAGTGAAATCTAATTCAGATTAAACTGACACATAAGTTTAGATTTTATCCTATTGGATTATATTATTCATTCTTTTTCATCTATAAGTTGCTGTTTTGTTTACATTTTCATAAGTCAGAGCAACAGTCAGCCTTTCTCTGTCTTAGTCAGAACCTCAGACATTCATGGCACAGGGACAAAGCAACATACCACAAAATCATGAAGAGATGAAGCTAATCTCTCCGAGTGGCTGCTGTGGAAATAGAGAATTTGGTTTGTGACTAAAACCTGTGCGCATTTCACAACTACTGTGTCAGACCATGTTTGGACCCTTTTCTCTCTCTGGATTTGCCTAAGTTTTCATCTCCAGGTCCGTCCATAACATTATGGAACATGGTGACAGCAGGAAATGAACAAAACAAGACCCGTCCTGTTTTTAAACAACCACAGGCCTGATAAAAAAAACTTTTGTTTTCCAGTCCTGAAGCTGACATAGGAAAAGACAGTTGCTGCTGAATTTTTTTCTTTTAAAAAGAAAATGTTTGGTTTAGATACTTAAGGTTGGTTCTAATTTGATCAGAAATTACACTAAAAGAATCATGGTTTAGTGAAAGCCAATCAAGCCGTTCATTATCACCCTCATCAGACATTTTCCCATAGATAAAGTCATGTCAGTCAGAAAGCATTTTCTTCATTGCAAGATGCAGAAAGGAATCTAATAAGAGAAAGTTATCAAACTTTTCTTGAATAGTTGGAAGTCTATGGAAATGGAAAATGAAATAAAATAAAAGGAAAGAAAAGAAAATATATAATCGATCACTTTACCCTTTACTGATTTCTGCCAACAGGCGGTTTCAGTCCTGGAGCTCCACCATCTCAGTCCAAAAAGGTCGGCCACTTCTCAAACAAAAAAAAATTATTCAATGATTAAAAAATAATTTAGCATCGGAGAGAAGGAAAGCCTTATGTTGGTGCACCTCCTCCTTGTTTCCCCACAAAAAGAAATTCCCCAGTGTCTCTGTCCTCATGGTTTTGCACACACACACATTGTGGAGCAGGTTGCAGCTCAGGTGAGCTATTTGGGTCAGGGGTTCAGAGCAGATTAAAATCCTTTTGTGTTGCTTTCCCCAGATTTTAACCCATCATTTCCATCCGGTTGCTGTGTCGGTGTGTGTGCGTTGGTGTGGGCGTTAGTTGTTGCCAATGTGGCCAAGTTGTTCAGATGAGTTCTCATATGAGAGCTGTAGTTTGTTTCTGGTAATAGATTCAACATTTAACCTTTTTTCAATAGTGAAAGTTTGAGGAGAATCAAGAAAATCCTGTTTTCTTTTTGGTTTGTTTTTAAATAAGAAACCAAAAGAGCTGTCTTTATTTTTTGTGTCATTTTTATGCTGAAGTTCTTTCCAGGTGGGGTTGAATCTGTAGCAGGTGGTTCTACGCATCAATACATCATTTGGATTCTGAAAGTTATAAGGTTCTTTAAAATTACACTGAAAATTATACAGAAAAGTACTGATATTAAGACATTTTATTTGAATTTTTGAAAACTAATACTTTTTGAATACCTACTTGAACATTCATTTCTTCCATATAAAACTAGGTTTTTATTAAAACAACAAAAAGAAAAAATAAGATTAATACAAAGTGGAAGGTAAAATCACGGAATTAGACTAGACTAAGACTTAGACAAACTTTATCAGCATTAGGTATACAGAGAATGTATACAAAACTATGTTTATACATTAATAATATATTTTCTTTCATAGTGCAACCCTCTACAGTAGTTGCACTGCTTATAAAACACTAAGAGTCAAGAGATAGGGTTATTTAAATCTAGATTCGCAGAAGAGGTTGGTCAAAACCAAATCCCATGGCAAATATAGCTTCCACCCCAATAAAACACCAAACAAGTTAAGTTTAAATTTGTATTACAATATTGATTATGAACAATATAAATCACAAAAAGGACAGGGGAATAAATAAAAAAATACAATGTACCTATGAGATCTCAGGGGAAAATTAAATAAACTTGGTCCAATGTCCAAAATGAAAACTACCCTTGAGTGCACTCAAAATTAAAGTTGTCCTACCACCCCTTAATACTCAGAGTCCAAACCAAGGATTCTCAAAGGAGCCTCTGTGGTGCTGCTAAGTAGAGGAGGTGGACCAAGGAGCCAGGCACCCGGGCGACCAAGTGCGCTGATGAGATGAAGAAACGACCTCCAGGGATCCGAATTAAAAAGGAACCTTAATAAAAAAAACAGTCTACACAAGATGCAGAGAAATTAAAGATTAATATTATTCACTAATGTCCATGTTTAATTTTTACTAATGCCTTTTAGTCCATTCTTTTTAACTTAAATATATAGTATACAGAAAATGCAGCAGAATACATTAACTTAGATTGGGAATATAGATTTGAAACAAACTTTCTCCAAAATCCAGTTTAAATGAAAAAAATAGTGCAATTGGCTTCTGGTACCATCACATTTGGAATAAACAGCATAAAACAAAGCCAACAACCCAGTTATACATAGAAAAGCAAACAGCCAGTAATTTGTGGCTAATGGACGTCTTTTAGAGCAGCGGTCCCCAACCACCGGGCCGTGGACCGGTACCGGTCCGTCGGTCATTTGGTACCGGGCCGCACAGAATAATTTATCGACGATCAGAGTCTGAGTGATGTTTTATTTTGAAAAATCTAAAAAATTGCGGTATTCTTTCCCAATAACATCAGTCGGTGCATCTATGCCTCTTGACACAGGTTAAGACTCATCCTATCTATAACATCCTATCTTTGTGAAGCGGGATTTTCTGCGGTTACAGCGACCAAAACAAAGCTATGGAGCAGACTGGACATCAGGAGCACACTTCGTGTGTCATTGTCTCAGATTACGCCTCGATGGGACCGGCTTGTTTTATTTTTATGCTGTTTGTATTTGATGTTACAGTATGCCAGTCGTATCATTTTACTTGATCGTTTTTACAAAGAGTATAAATCCCGGGTCTGCGAAAATATTGTCTGACATATAGCAGTCCGTGGTGCAAAAAAGGTTGGGGACCGCTGTTTTAGAGAACACAATTCAGTGAGTAAAACATTTTACACACCGTGAACAGCTATCACAGCTAATTTTAAAAGTCATCCTGACTGGTTTGTAAAAAATTAAGGCTTAGATATCATTTAACACCCTTTTATATCGTGTTTCAATAACTACATCATGTGCTAAATACACAAAATGGTACACCTACCGAGACAACTCGATTGAGATTCATATCAATTTCCAACGGAGTTCAACAACATTCACCAGCCTGGTGTATCTGCAAATAAGCTATGAAATATATTCTGAATCCTTTTTATGCTTAAATTGCTTTTTATGGAAGATTTACCTCGTTTCTATATGCTGCCACCCAGTGGTGAAAATCGGAGTTGCACTTGATTTCCTAATGTCAGCAGGAAATGCATTACATTGAGGTAATTAAGGGGTTAAATTAACAGGGTTACAATAAATACATTCGGAAAACAGGAAAACAGCATTTTCATATTTAATTGGATTTAATTTGGGGATACATTCTTTTATACCTTTCAAAAAATGATAATGGACCATCCTCCTGGTGCCATATAGGCTATAACAGTCAAGTGGAGAACCCTGCGTGTCAAATATTGAAAGGGATACCCGGTGTGTCATTATGTGACGCAGAGGGAGCCTGACCAAGCGTCCAAATGTGACGAGTTGGGATGGAGAATGTGTAGGAATATTTTCTTAATTGAATACTTCAATACTTCAACTTGAGTAGATGTTTAAACGAGTAACTTTTAATTGTAGTTGATTAAGTTTTTAATAGTATCAAGTACTACTATTGAGTACTTCGTCCACCACAGTGGAGATTAAGAAAAAAGCAGCTTTGGATTGAAATTTCTTTCCAAATTCAGATTCAGATTTATTGCACAATATTTCAAACTATGGTAGAAAACCTTAGAAAGCGGCCAGTGAGCTTTAGAACTCGCTCCTTTGCCTCATTAAATGCAAACTTTGACTGAACTCACCTTTGGGTGAGGATAAAAATATATTACTGCAGAAAAACGTGCTTTGTTTGATGCTAATTAGCTGGTGCAGTTAGCACGCTTTTCTAATTGATCTCACGCACGCGTGCGTGCGCACGCTCACCCGCTGCCATGGAAACGGAGCACCAGCCATCTTTAACGCTCATTTCTAACCTGAACCTTGGAGATTGCAGTTGCTGCTTTCTGTGGTTTGCTAATCTGCTAAAGGTGGGCTTCGCATCGCTGGACAACTGGTTCCTGGATCATCTGAAAGGTTTGTGTCACTCTTTTACTATGTTAATTAAAAACAAAAATGTTATGTGAAAAATTATTAGTTTTAAGTTTTTTCATGGAAGTTGTGACAGCTAGCTTAGCTTAGCTTCTAGCATCTTTGACATCTCAGAGATTAAAAGTGTTTTGTGTTTTTGTCAGGAATGTTAACAGTGATTTAGTGATTTAAAAAATATATTTGTGTTTAAGAAAAACACCTTTGTTGAATTTGAGGTGAAATGTTCGTAAACTAGATGTGCTAGGTCTATGATTTTTAAAAAATGCCCTGAAAATAAGTTTGCTCTATATGAAAATGTTGGTGAAATTACAATAAATAAATATAAAAAGACAGTTGAAGGAAATTTAGCATAATATATTATCAAGCTAAACTGTTTATTTTTTTGTATTTGATAAAAATATATATCATTTTGAGTGTTTTGGAAGTTGACTGAATTTCTCCTGATAAACAACTGGGAAATAAAAGATAAAGATTCTCAAGTTGTTTAATTTAGTTAATGTGTTTAGGAAATGTTAGGTTTATAACCAGTTTTTTTTTTTTTTTATTTAAATAGATTTTTATTGGTTGGAAATGGGAGGAATGATAACAGAAATGTAATGATATAAAACAAAAACACCTTTTGGTTTGTGAGAATAATCTTTGATGAATTTATTGTGGAAATGGTTGAAAACATACAAAACAGTTTTAGAATAAAACGTTTTTTTTTTTATATATTTGAACTTGAAAAGGAAGTTCTTTTTTAAAACATGCAGTGGTAAACATATTGGTCTCCATGGATACCTTAGTAGAATGCATTAAACAGGGTTTTAAGGTGGCATATATTTTTGACTTTAATGGAAGGTCAAAGGTGTTAAAAATTTGTGATTTTAAAAGTTTCTGGATTCAGAGGATCGTTTTTGGTGAGTTTGGTATCAAATTCTTGCAAAACAAGTTGGCGCCTGGCCCCTTCTGTCAGAGAAGGACTCGAAGAACAAGTATGGTCTCCTTAATACAACAATAAACAACTTTAGCTTTTAAAATTATTTTGAAAGGTCACGTATTTCTTGTTATATTAATAAAACCCTAAACATTAGAATTTTTTTTTTTTGTTTTGTTTCCTAAAACACTTTAATGTTTGCACTTGACTAAAAATCAGATCCTTTACATTTTTGGGCAGTAAAATGTTTAGAACCTGGCTGAGTTTATTATAAGTGCTGTCATTGTGAGGAAAGCGTAAAGAATAAATGTTTGATTCAATATATTATTTAAAAGTGTTTCTGCAGCCCTTGTTTTGATCTTCAGGTGAATGTAAATAATTGAATCTTATCTGTCACCAGAAATAATACAGCTTGTTTACAGATGACTTCATCATTTTCTAGATCTTCAAAACATTTAACGCTGGATGGTTTCTTCTAAACAATTAAAAGTTCTGTATAGGATCCCCTTTCTTAGATTTGTAGAAAAAAATTGAATCTGAATTGTCCCTCTAATTGTCTGCACCTGCGCATTGGGTGCAGAAGCCTGTTAAAGGGCAGTATTTTCAGAGCCCCAAGACCATAAAATTCTGAGACGCTGATTGGCCATTAAATTATTAAATTCACCTAGCAATAGTACATGATTGGCAGATTCTATGCACTTGTGGGGCAGTCTAATCAGAGCCCCAAGACAGAGACGGTAGGAGTCTGTCTGTGGAAATCCACAAATGAATAACAGTAGATAGGGAAATGTACTGAGACAGGAGCACACAATCGTATACGCACATATATACATATTTTTAAATATTTCTGTGTGTATTAATTTTTGTATTATTGTGTCTTTTACAACGATGTCCATTTTTATTTTAAAACTAACCAAACCACTAACATTCTTAATATGTTTTTTATTGGGTTATTTTAGCTCACAGATCAATGTTCTTATTGATTAAATCTACTTTAACCTGACAAACTCACACAGGCACATCCAGCAACCTAAAATAAAGCATTTCATTTTTTATTTAATGTTCCTTTATTAACGTTCCTGGTCTAATGATGTCTTTCCCTCACAGTTCCAGTCGCTGCCCTTCCTGACCCGGAGCTCCCGTTCTGGATTCAGGAACTGGGTAATTTTAATTTCAATTTTAATAACGTCATGGGAGAACTGAGGAGAAGGATGAGGATGAGGAGGTTGAGAGAACAGTTACACATTGAGGAGGTGGAGGAAGGTTTTTTTGATGATGAGGAGGAGGAGGTAGAGGCTGAAGCAGTAGTGGTGGAGGAGAATGAGGAGGTGGAGATACAGGATTTTGTGGAGGTAGAGGTTGAGGACGAGGTTGAGGATGAGGCTGAGGACGAGGATGAGTATTATAGGTATTTTTCTAGCGAGTCTCTTGGTGGGGCTGAGGACGAGGATGAGGCTGAGGATGATAGGTCTTTTTGTAGTGAGTCTCTTGATGAGGCTGAGGACGAGGATGACGAGGAGGATGAGTTTGAGGCTGAGGATGAATTTGAGGCTGAGGATGAGGCTGAGGATGAGGATGAGGATTATAGGTCTTTTTCTAGCGAGTTTCTTGAGGTATCTAGTGCGTTCTCCGGATATGACACCACAAGCTCTGAGGAAGAAGACGATGAAGATTCCCCGGACTGCCAAAAAGACCGTGCCTCTAGGAAAAGGAGAAGAGACGAAGATGAGGAAGATGATGAAGACAATGACCACCTTCCACCTCTTCTTCGGTTCCCCCTGAGGATCCCCCCCCCCTTCAGACTCCCTTGGAACCAGGAGGAGCCGGAGGATTCCCCGGACTGCCAAGAAGACCGTGCCTCCAGGAGAAGGAGAAGAGAGGAAGATGATGAAGAGGAGCCCCCTGGGAAGAGGCCTTGTGGCGAGAGGCATGTTTGAGAAGAGGGATTTCAAGAACCTTCCTTTAACGCCTTCAACTATCTATTTTATTGCTGATTTGGTGACTTTTGGAGGTGGGAAGGCTGAAGGACTGGAAACAGTCACACCTAGATATCATTTATAGATCGTTTTTATATCTGGCAGGTCTAGGGATGCCTTAGGTAGCGTCTTGCACCGTGGCTTTTCTTTACCCCGCTGCTAGATTTTGATGTCAGTTTTAGATGTTAAGAATTTCCGTTAGCACAGACATCTGAGGAGATGATAACAACTAATAAAAGGTGTGGAACATGACAGCTGGTTAAGGCAGAAATAGTCTAACATGCTCTACATCTAATGTGGACATTCTGCTAGATAACAGAAAGCAACCCAAACAGTTTTGACAAGAAGAATCACAGAATAGAGGCAAATGAACAAAAACACATAGATAAAAAACACAAAAAGACAGAAATTAAATTAAAGATCAACCACAAGGAGGCAAACAAATCCAAGGAAACTGCTGGACATCGCTGCTGAGGACGACTGAGGAGGTCAAACCTAAACCCTAAAGGAGAAAAAGAAGGTAGAGAGATGACGCTTGGTGGGGCTAATTGATTTAGACCAGTTAGAGGCAGAGGACAGGACTAATGTAGGGATTTGAGTTGTGAAGCACCGACTGTTAGAAACAGCTTTCCGATGTGACTTGGTCTAGTTCTAGATGTTCCTCTGGTTAGTTAGTTTTCAGGCCTAGTTTGAGGGAAAAGAACCCTCTGCAGAAATATTCTCCATATCATCTAGGCCTGTCCTGACCGCAGTGGATCTCTTCTGTGTTTTTTGAATCCCATGTTGGACCGAGCCGCTACAAGCTTTGGGCCAATCAGAAGATGCTGATGAGATCTGCAGCGACCAAACCAGAGGAGGATCATCTGAGCTGCTGACCTTCACAAAGAGTGAGAGCATGTTCAGTAAGGAGCAACAATAATCCATCATTTAAATATAAAGTTAACATTTCAGGTGGCCTCACTTAATTTTTCATGTATGTTCAGACACTGTGGACGTCCAAAAGCAGAAGTCCTGTGAGGAACCGGGACATCCAGGATGATGAGGAGCTTCCCAGTCTCTACCTGAGGACGGCACAGAGAAAGACTGGAACAGAAAACACACGGAGTAAGACTTTATTAACACGACAAACCCACAACTCAAGCTTCCCAGGCCTGATTAAAAGCTAACAGTCATTGAAACACAGAAAGACCAAGATTATGATGAAAACAACATCCTGACCCAGATTTCAACTTGATGTCGAGGAAATTCTGTAGATTAATTTGTCTTATTTTTTTCAGGGAAAGCAGGTTGAACATGGAAGCAGTGTTCTAGCAGTCGGATCACATTGGAAAAGAATCCATCCACATGTGTTTGGAGGTATGTTGGTTGTTGTTTGACTAGAGAAGCATCGCATGCAGACAGGTTAAGACTGTGAGGATGCTTTGCTTTCATTTATGAAGGAGCTGAAGAAGAGGATGGAGCACACAGACCGCTAAGGAGAAGAAACATGGCTCCTCTATTTGTCTCTCCAACGTTCTGGAGTCTGAAAAACGTTGACGACCCCGCAGCTAAACCATCAGTCTGCTCCACCCAGTAGAAGAAGGTAATGAACCTTTATTGCTTCCAGATGTTCATCAGTATTGGTGAAGATAGTAAAAATCGATCCAGAACAAACAGATACAAAAGCTTCAACCATCCCATCAAGGTGGTCTAACCTTTAATCTTTATCTTTCCATCATGAGTGGATGTTCACCTCTATTTGCATCTCTGTAACCAAACCTTTACCAGAACCAGAAGTTCTGACTTTTCCATTAAACCACAGATAAACAGTTAAGAAGCAGCTTCTGATCCAATATGGGAGAATTTCCCCCTGGTTGATCTCTGAAGGTTTTTTTAGAACTTATTAAAGCAGAGAAACGACCGACTGAAGACTCCAACAAATGCAGCATTTTCAGGCATTTTCTCCAAGCATCCATTGTTTACAGTTATCACTTCTGTTAACTTTAGCTTCTCCCTGTGTGTTTCCCTCTTCTCTTGGTTAAAGTTACATTTCTCTCAGTGTTTATGTGTTTAAATGTCACAGACTAGCGTGTTTGTTCACTAACTCCTGTTCTTCTTTTCCAGATGAGGTCATCTGCTCCTTGGACCGGCGCCTCTGTGTCTGTCGGACGTCTGCTGTCCTGTTAAAGAACCGCTCAGTCGCAGTAGATGGGCGCCGACATGGAACCGGGGTCTGCTGGAGGTTCCTTCCTGCTTAAAGCTGGTTTTCCTCTCCACTGTCTCCTCATTGCTCAGGAGGAGGCACTGCAGCAAAATTAACGACTGTCTGTGATTGGCTGAGCTTCCTTGGGTTGAAGACATTTCTCTGAATGCCACGATAAACTGAATTTATCTTCACCATGTTGTAAATAGGATCTAATTGGATATTTGTGTTTAGATTTGGTTCTGTGTTTGTGTTGACTTCTGTTACATGTTTCTGTATTAAAATTGTCATGTTAATTGCCTTTAGATGACATTTTCTGTGACTTGTTTCTATTTTAAGACTGATTTATATTAAATCCCCTTACTGCACAGGTGTCAAAGTCGTTCCAGAAAGGGCCGTGTGGCTGCTGGTTTTCTTTCCACCCAAGCAGTAGCACACCAGACTCCATTCATCTCATCAAGGTGAGTCTAGTCTTAACCTGATGGCTTGATGGGATGAATGGAGTCTGGTGTGCTACTGCTTGGGTGGAAAGAAAACCAGCAGCCACACGGCCCTTTCTGGAATGACTTTGACACCCCTGCCTTACTGGGTCTGGTTCTGTTGAAGTATGCTTCCTGTCGTTCTATCTTTACCTGTTATTTCTCACTATAATAAAGGTTTGATTGCAGTAATGTGAACAGGATCTGTTTGTATTTTCTGGTAAAGTGTCTTGAAATAAGTGGTTGTAAATTGATTCTTTATAAATAAACCAAACTGAAGTCAAATGGAGCAAGAGTCCTAATATTACTATAGTACAGCGCTTTGGCAGATTGGTGGTTATTATTGTTTCTCTGTTGGGGGGTCTGACCTGACAGCTCATGTTAACAGAACAATTGTTCTTGTCACTTTGCAGTGTCAAAACAAATTAGCTCTAAAAAAAGGACAGTGAGACGTTCCTCCTGCAGTTCTTCTCATTTTATTGACCTTATAGATAATCTGGGAGTTTAGCAGCAGAGCAGACAGGACACATCAACACTGAGCCATACAAAGAACAACAAACAAATATGGGAGGATAATTAAAGATTAATGTTAAAATAAAACAGTAAAAGATTCAATCAACTAGGACGATAGCAGGAACTAAATGTTTAATGAACCCAAAAGCAAACAGCTTTGGTTAATTAGAATAAAACTTGGTTTTAAGGTGATTTTCTCTTCTTTAAACTCTACATTTATATCTCTACCATACTTGGTCCCTCAGGGTTGCATTGCTCGCTCCTTTTAGCAGACACCAACTAGTTAATGATTCAGGCTCCTATTCTATCAGAGGAAAATGGATTTAAATGGATTAATGATCCTAAACTCACATTTAAACTGGTTTTGGAATAGATAAAGCAGCTTTAAATGAACATCTGGAACCTCGGCCATTGTCATGTCTGGATGATCACGTTTAAGGCTACGTTCACACTGCAGGCATTAATGCACAGTTCTGATTTTTTTTAGGAAATCTGATTCTTTTGCGTGGTTGATCTCATTTCCAAATATGCAATCTCCTGTGTGAACTGAATTCATTCAACTTAAGTGTCTTAAGGGAGCGTGTTCTGTGTTTACGAAAGTAAACATGGAAGGTAGAGCTGGAGCGCATTTAAAATCTTTCATTTCTTTCCCAGCCTCAGCCAGCGCATTAACAACACAATCTTTTCAAGATGGTTGAAAATAAAGAATGCTCTCCGCATTATCTTCCGCCATGGTTGTTTTTCCTGCTGCTGCTACATAGCAAGATGCAGAATAGTGACTTTAGTCCAGTATTAATGGCATACAGATCAGATGAATGGGTAAGATTTGACTGAGTATCAATACTTTTACTCAAGTACTACAGTTGAATACTTCATCCAACACAGCATGTATGTAATGACAACTATGCTTACCAACTTCAAACTCTTGAAGTTGTTTTGCTAGTAGGAAGAAGAGTACAGCCTCAAAAGGCGGGATTTCCTGAAAAGTAGTCATTCACAGCCGAGTTGCTTTGTCCGTTGGGTAACGCCTTCAAAGAGACAATAGTTCACACGAGCACAAAAAACAGATCCACACGTGAGAAAGGGAGGCTGTGCACGAGGATATCAGACCACCAAGTTTGATGTGGAGATGATTCTGCCACTAGAGGGTGCTACTGCTGCTGTTGGTGAGACGCATCACATTCACTTCCTGTTTTGACTACTGAGCAGTGTTTTTGCTCTTCAGGCTATCTCCGTTTTTCCTCTCCACTGTCGCTACAAGCATGCTTGGTCTGAGGGATTGCATTCGAGTCAGTGAGTCGATGCAATCAGCTGGTTTTCCTTAGACAGAAAACTTTGAATCAATTTGATTGGATGATCCGGTGAACTGGAAAGTGACTTGAGATGACATGTTGTGAATTGGCGCTATATAAATAAACTGAATTGAATTGAACAAGTGTGTTTAGAAGGAACAAGCACTCGTGTGAGATATATGGGGCCCCCGTGGTATTCAAGCATGTAACGTAGCATGTTCAAAAATGCTTGTTATGCCTGTTTTAGGTAAAGCTGCTTGTAGGAGTATCTATTGCACATTTGGACTATTAGCAGAATCCTGATGCTATAATTAAAATTTTTAAATAACAGAGATGTTTTTTTTCTTTACAAAGCTAGGTCCTTTTTTTTTTTTTTACAGCGTCACTGAAATGCAATGCAGGTATAGAATAGTGATAGATGGATTAGGATTACAGAAGGAAACCCACAGAACTCCAGATACATACATCAGCAGTTCTTTAATAGGATGTTTTCAAAATATGGTTATTAACAACTGGTAAAAAAAAAAAAAAAGGTAACCTGGTAAAATATAACCTCAGCAAAAAGCTTATCAGGGTGTACTGTTTAATGGGTGAAATAGGGCTTTGGGAAATAAATAAAATCAATGAGGGTCAACGGAAAAAGCTGCTGTTTGGTGATAAGTTTGAAAGAACAGAAAAAAACAAAAAAAAACAAACATCAAGTCATCCGTTTCAATGCTGACTCTCATCTCTTTATCTTAAATAAAAACTCAATTTAACCAATATAACTTTATTTCTATAGTTTGTTTTCCATAAATAAATTATTTCTCTGTATCAAAAAGAGATTTCAAATATAAATCGGCTCATCATGCCGAGAATACACAATGCAAACTCTTAACCTACCGTACGCTCCATTTATCATTTCATCGTCACACAGAGCCTTTGCTTTGCCCTTTAGGAGCTGATTGAAATACGCATTTAAAACATTAAATTAGACGCAGACATATGTACAAAAAGACGCTGCCAGTAAAATATACAAGAGTCTTTAGTAAAAAGTTTAAAACATAGAAAAGCTGTTGTATAAAAGAAGGCAGTGATGCATCCATCAGTCTCCTGCAGTTCATTTAAAGGTCAAATCTCGTCTCTGTCCATTTGATCTCTTGGCAGTAGGTTTCATTAAGCTCACGCTCAATTACTTTTGATCAAACAGATTCATGAGATCCAGGTGGAGGTGCAGCAATGCGGGGCTTACGGTCTCTTCCTTTCCATGATCTCTAATGACACAGAGAAGCCTGAGCAGAACGGTTCTGTGTGTCCGACAGCAGTGGTTCAGTCTGGGACTCTGATCTCTACAGGTAGTTAGAGGTCGCAAAGCAGTGGCTGTGGCTGACTCGGCTCTGGTGGATCATGGCGCGGTTGTACGCCACCTGTACAGACTTTCGGATGCTGGACTTGCGGCCCTCCATTATGCGTAACTTGTGTCATCTACTCCCAGAGGGGTCACTGTTTAATAAAAGACTTAATTTTTTTCTTCCTTAGTAAATGTCCTAGCAACTAAGATGAATTAATGAATATAAATGAATGGTGTTAAAGTTAAAATTCTCCACCAGCACTATTTTAGAGGAGACTAAAAATATTTAAAAAATCCCTTGTCCACCTTATTGTTTCATAGAGGTGTGCTTTTTAAACCATGAACTAAGTTCTTTTCTATCTGCCCCAGAATCAGCCCGCCATTTTGACCCGGGAGCAGAAATACACTGTAAACAGGATGGTTGAGGCTCATCGCCAGTTTAGGGAGCAAGACAGCAGCAGTTACAGGGTAGGTATGTGTCCAGACTTTAGGTTTACCACCTGTTATGATGTTCTCATGTTGTTCTCATGCTGGCAGGTCTCTGAATGGCAGTGTGCTCTGGAGGGGGCGGGGCTGCCTGATGTTTTATCCCCACACCTAAACAGACTGCTGCAGTTTGCAAGAACAGTACCAGGTGAGGTGGATGGAAATCTTTACTCATTGACATTAACCATTTGTCCGTTTTGTATTTTATTAAAGGATAAATCTGTTGAATTCTCTCTTTCCGGTCAAATTATGTAAATATCAAATGACTGTTCTGAATCTCTGTCCTGATGATTGGTGTGACTCATTTAACTTCAGGTTAGGATTTCTCTGTGATTATGTTACCTAGTGTGTGTGTCCCAGTGTTACTTGTTACACATAGAGGTTTCTGGTAGCAATTAAATCTCATAACATGGTGATATCGTTTTGGTACATTTCAATTCAGAATTGATGTCTGGTTGATATAAAAACGCATGAAAATGTGGAAACGCTCCTCAGTCCTGCTGTTAGGTATGATGGAGGATCTGTAATGCTGTGGGTCTGTTTGTCAGAGATACAAACATGTGCAATCCCAGTTTGTGGAGAAGATATTTTAATATTTCTTTTTTGTAGGTAGCTTATGAAGCAACTCAAGTTGAAGGATGAAAAGAGATTAGCATCTCCACTCATGGGAAATCTCTGATTGCTTGGTAGCAAGTAGACAATTTAATCATGGAATAAGATGAATTACATTTAAAATAGAAATAGGAAAAAGAAACTCCATTTTATTATTTCAAGTGCATAATACCTAATTATCTAATTTTAAGGGCAGAAATATTCATTCCATTGACGGATCATCCTATTTACCAACTCCAAAAAAAGGGAAATACACTTAATTAAAAAAAAGATTTAATTTTCTTTTTTTCATTTTTCTGTTTAAACGTTTGCAGTTTAATTAAAAAAAACACAAGATGGAGCTGTTTACAATTTTATTACATTTTTTCATTTAAAAGAACAACAAAAAACAACAACAAATAAATATACTCAGTTAGTAAAATAAATAAAGGTGAATGGTGAATGTGCTTGAATTAAAGGGTAGGTTGATTCAAAGGTTCTTCCATGTTTTGTTCGCTGCTATAAAAGACATTGAGCTAAAGGGTTTGTAAAACACCAAAGAATGTGGCCTCATGGTGTTTGCAGGTGCATAAACTGTGTTTGGTATTAAGGGCATTAATCTGGTTGTTTTAGTTTGATAATCATTTGGAAGATCATGGTGATTTGGTGATCATTTGACTGTTTCTGATGAAAAAAGCTATTTGTAGAAAACAGTCAGGTAAGGAATCACCTCCACATTTAGGCAGTGTTCTTCTTTTTTTTAAATCCCAATGAGAGGTCCACATTTCATTCCTATTTTTGTAGATTAAAGTTAAATGTCTAAGAATCGGCATGCTTGTGCTCTGTCACCCAGGTTTTGATCTCCTGGATTTCTCTGACCAGATGGCCCTCCTGTCCGTTTCCTCTCTGGAGGTCATGTTTCTGCTCTCTGCCCAGCAGTTCTCCAATAACCCTGCAAGCCCCACTCCAGGTAAAGGGAGAAAACTAAAACTAAAATAAAGACAAAACTATAAACACGGTTTTAGAAAATACACCCGTTTGAATCTAACAGCCCATCACTGTATGATCAGTGTTGCAGCTTTTCACCACTTCCTCGCACGGCTGGCTCAGAAATCTGGAGCCCAGGGAAAACTTCCAGATGAGGACGTCCGTCGGTTCAGGTGAGCTCATACATCCCCTTTAATCTGCAAACTGTGGACATAAAGAGCCCGCTTTAAGGATCTGTTTCCTGGTGTGGACAGGAAGCAGTGAGGATCTCCTGGGCTCAGTGCTAAACTTCCTTCACAGCATGGCGGTGCTGTGTGTGACAGAGGCTGAATACACCCTGCTTACTGCCACAGCTCTGCTCTGCTCAGGTCAGGTATCAACAATTAGTAAACATTTTAACCAGGGACTGTTTAACAAGTTATAGAACAAAGAATCTAATTGTCTTGGATAGCTTTCTTTAAATAAAGTTAGTTTCCCTTATAAACTAAAAGGACTTAAAGCAAATCTTTAAGTGAAGGTTTCTATCAGCTTTGCACATCTAGAGCCCTTTAATTACCATAACAGATCAATCAGAATGAAAGGACAATACCTTCAGAAGTGAAAGTAAGATTTTTATTATTGTTTTTGTTTTTTTTACAGATTCTTATCTTTTTTAGGTCTGGATTTTGACTGGGCCATTCTAACACATGAATAGGTTTTGATTCTAATAGACTCTAGCTCGTTCTTTATGCTTATTAGTCCTGTTTGAGGGGGAACTTCTGAATCAGACTCAAGTCTTTTGTGGCCTTTAACAGATTTCCTTCTTGGACTACTCCGTATGGAGTTTACTCCATCTTCACTTTAACCCCTGTAGCTTCCCGGCTGATGGAAAGCATTCCCATAGCATTATACTGCCATCATGCATGTTTCCTGGTTGGCACCGCCTTTTACAGCTGCCTTTTGCATCTCTGGTTCTGTCTCCTTGAACCCCAGTCGGCCTCGGCAGATGGCCGCTCACACTGAGCCTGGTTCTGCTGGAGGTTTCTTCCCGTTAAAATTAAATTTTCCTCTCCACAGTTGCTACAAGCATGCTTAGTGTGAGGGATTGCCTTCCAGTCAATGAGTCGATGCAATCAGCTGGTTTTCCTTTGATAGAAAACTTTGAATCAATTTAACTGTATGATCTGGTTGAACTGTAAAGTGCCTTGAGATGACATGTGATGTGATTTGGAGCTAAAATGAAAAAAATAAACTGAATTGAATCAAATGCACATTCAGGAAGATGCACATTTTCTTCCACACAGTGGCAGATTTCATTTTTTACTATGGTTCCATTTTATTTTAGTTGTCTTGTCCTTACTCTGCTACTTTAGGAGCAACTCTTTGACCAACACTGCAAATGCTTTTTTGTGTTAATATGCTTTTTAACAAACTTGAACTTAGATGAGGGTTAGATAAGTAATAAATGCACCACACACCTTTTGAAAATGATCTGCCACTTTGCATCGGTCTAAAATCCTGTCAGTTATGTGGAACTTTGTTGTTTTAACAGAAGAAGTTTAGGAGGTGTAAATCCTTTTGGGATGCAGATCGAGCATCCCTGCAGGCGGTCAGCTGTGTGGAGAAAATGCAGGAGCTGATCCTGGACCTGCTCTCCAGGGTTTGCGGGGCCCAGGCTGGAGCAGCAGCCAGGGGAGGGCCGCAGCGTTTCGGCCGCCTGCTGGGCAGACTGACGGAGCTACGCACCCTCCATCACAACTACCTCCTCCTGACAGGGCAGCAGCCAGCACACTGATGAAGAGGAGATTCTTCTCTTCCCCACGCAAAGGCCTCTTTGAGACCAGAAAGAGTTGAACTGGCAGCCTTTTTTTCCTCTGTGTTCATTTAGCTTTGGTGGTTTCAGATTATTAGGGTGAAGCAATCAATCTGATTTTTTCATACTTATCAACTGCTACCATGAACACCACCCAGACTGTTTATTTTGTTGAACAATTTGAAAATAAAGTCTCCTTTACTTTAATAAAAAGATATCCATTAAAGGAAGACTAAAAATAATGAAAATGACCTCCAAGATTTCTATGTTTGTTACTTGAAAACCGTTTCATTCATCATGTTAGACAAACTTAACCTGCTAAATGTATGATTTATCAAAACAAATGAGATTCTTTAAATAGAAAATTAAGTTTAATCATATCTCTGAAGTGTCCCTTATAACTTTCCCCTTTTTGTAAAGCATGGATCTATCAGGATGGAGTCTTTTTTCCTGTGATGTCAGTCTAGTCTCATTTATTTCTTACATATTTAGAATAAAATTAGCGCCTGAGCATCAAAGTCCAACACTCTACACATAATGGATCCATCCAAAGGGCCTCAAATTACTGGAATTAGATGACTTAAACAAAAAAATAGGTTGGTCTAATCTGCTGTTGGAGCCACTTTAAGCATTTATTATGCAGAGGTGAGTGAATTTTCTATAGTGCAGACAGACATTAGAGTATCACTTGTGTCAGTTCTCTAGCAGCGGCATATATGGGCGTAACATATAACTTACATGTTACGCCCATATATGCCGCTGCTATATAAGGATTGATGCTCAAACTGAGGAATAATGTGTTCTATTAAAACTAAATAAATACAAGCAGCCTGTCTTAGCTAGCCATGAAACAGTGTTTGAAGACAGATTGATAGACTGTTGCATTCAAACCACCTAACCTGAGACCGTGACCAATGCCTCTTATTTAATGTCTCAATAAAATGTAAAAATATTCAAAATTTCTTCCCAAATTGAAAGATCAATAATACCCCTAAAAAAGACAACATATTGATCACTGAGCTGTAATCAATGCAGCTTTCTCGATTAAAGACTCATTCCTAAAATATTCTATTTTTCATGAAATATTTAATCAAATCAGTCATGAAATGTAAACTTTGAAGCAACTTCTCTAAAATATATCATGAAAGTCAGCTGCAGATAACTTTACAAAACTAAACCTATATGACAGACTTTCTTGTAGCAGGAATAACTTATTTGTAAAGCTGAGAGATAATAAAATATGTGTTTTTATTTTATAGCTTTGCCTCGTCTGTTCCTGTTTGGCTGTGACGTCATCCTGGAGAGAAACATCAGCTGTGCTGCTTCCATCAATACCCTTGTTTATAGATGTTGGAGATTGGCCTGTTTTCCAGTGTGGTCCTGTTTCTCTGACCGTGACTAACTGGATGTGCTCTCTTCGTCCTCTGGCATGGGAGCTGCCTTGGAACTCGTCTGCCTGGCTGTGTGTTTCCTGGACGGGGACGCCTTTTACAGCTGCTTTTTGTATCTCCGCTTCTGTCTCCTTGAACCCCAGTCAGCCTCGGCAGATGGCCGCTCACACTGAGCCTGGTTCTGCTGGAGGTTTCTTCCTGTTAAAAGGGAGTTTTTCCTCTCCACTGTCGCTACAAGCATGCTTAGTGTGAGGGATTGTATTTGGGTCAATGCAATCAACTGGTTTTCCTTAGATAGAAAACTTTGTATCAATTTGACTGTATGATCTGGTTGAACTGTAAAGTGCCTTGAGATGACATGTGTTGTGAATTTGGGGCTATATGTCATGTTCGGCTGAACGTATTTAGTCCACATGCAGAACACACACGGCAACAGGGATCAGTTAACTGTTTATTGATAGAGAGAAAATGGAAGCAACGGAGTCGACGGGGAAGCCACAGCACCGGGACCCGTTCGACTTCTGAAAGGAGAAATAGGTGATTAGCCGGAAAGGGCGATCAGGCAAAAATGAACAGAGGAACGTGAGCTTACCACCGGACGCAGCAACCTAACCGGGGGAGGACGGAGCGGACTCAGGCTCTGATCGATGGAGCTGGTGGCGAGTGTCTCAGTGACAGGTGAGGCTCGGGCTTGAGGGTGACAGAGCTGCGCTGACTTAACAATGATCCGGGGCAGCAGGAGAAACCAGAGTGGCTCGAAGCACCTTTCTTTGAGCCAGGAGAAAGGGAGGACCCTGTGGGAACTCAGACCCTGGAGTCAGCACGAGTGGGACCCTCTGAAAGGCGATCGAGAGGTAACCTGGGGAACACAGAGGTTTGGGTTAACGAGGGAAGTCAGAACTCAGTAGAGAGACTGTGGCCTTAGTCGTACCACTACGGTTAACACTCTGGCGTCCTCCTGCTGTCTGGATGCTGCTCTTATAGTGCGATCAGACGCAGCTCAACCAGCCACAGGTGTGAGCGCCCTGCCCACCTGTCAACTGCAAACACCTGCGGAGAAAGCAGAACCGGCAGAAACTGCATGGCCCTGTCGGCTGAGTCCTGACACCACCCCCCCCTCAATGGTCGCCACCCGGCGACCTCGAGGAAGAGGAGAGGAAAGAGTCCACCAACGACCTGTCAGGGAGGGAGGAACCAGAAACGTTCCTCCGGACCGCAGCCCACCCAGTCGACGAGGTATTGATACCCTCTACCACGCCGACGGGAGGCCACGACCCTTTGGACCTGACGTCCCAGGTGGTCGAGGGTGGGTGGAGGGGGTTCGGCCGGAGGGCAAAACGGGCTAGAGAGGACGGGCTTGATTTGGGAGACATGGAAGGTAGGGTGGGTCCTGGAATGGGACGGGAGACGGAGGCGGACGGTCGTCGGGCTGAGGACGGAGACAATCTCATAGGGGCCAGTGAAACGTGGTAATAACTTCCGATGGGAAGATCTGGACGGGAGGTTTCGAGTAGATAACCAGACCCGCTGACCGGGGTGATAGGAGGGAGCAGGGACTCGCCTGCGGTCAGCAAACCGGCGGTTCAGCTCAGAGGTCCGGTTCAGGGCTTGGATGGTCTGGGTCCAGACCCTTTTGCATCGGTGGATGTGGTGGGCAACGGAAGGTACAGCTATTTCCTTATGGTCGTCGGGAAACAGAGGTGGTTGGTAGCCCAGAGAAGCTTCGAAGGGGGAGACGCCAGTCGCAGTGGAGACATGACTGTTATGAGCGTACTCCACCCAGGGAAGGAACTGACACCAGTCGGAGGGATTGGTGGAGGTTAGACAGCGGAGAGCGGTCTCCAGCTCCTGGTTGAGCCGCTCAGTCTGACCGTTGGTCTGCGGATGGTAGCCAGAGGTAAGAGAGTACCGGGCACCAAGGGCCACGGCAAACTCCTTCCACACACGTGAGGTGAACTGTGGACCACGGTCAGACAGAACGTCCAGCGGGATCCCATGCTGGCGGAAAACATGCTTCACCAGGAGCTGGGCCGTCTGAAAAGCAGAGGGGAGTTTTCTGAGGGGAATAAGGTGGCAGGCCTTAGAGAAACGATCAGTCACAGTGAGAATAGTGGTCATACCTTGGGAGGAGGGTAGGCCGGTGACAAAGTCTAGGGCTATGTGGGACCATGGCCGCTCAGGGACTGGCAGGGGCTGGAGCAAGCCTGCAGGGGGTCTGTTTGATGGCTTGTTCTGTGCACAAACTGGGCAGGCTAGGACGAACTGTTTAACATCCTTGGGTAAGTCGGGCCACCAGAACCGCAGGGAAATGAACTTGATAGTTCGGAGGATTCCAGGATGGGCCGATAACTTTTCAGAGTGGGCCCACTGGATGAGGCGGGGCCGAACGGAGGAGGGGACGTAGGTGCGGTTAGGTGGGCCATTACCTGGGTCCGGGTCAGCAGGCAGAGCTTGGGAAATGAGGTCCAGAATCTCCCACTGGAGGGCCCCAAAGGTGCAGGTCGGAGGTAGGATGGGAGAGGGCTCCTTAACTGAGTCGTGGGGGGCGTACAGGCGGGACAGAGCATCAGGTTTTAGATTCTTGGAACCAGGTCGGTAGGAGATACTTAAATTAAAACGGGAAAAGAATAGGGACCAACGGGCTTGCCTGGGATTGAGTCGTTTAGCTGTTTGGAGATAAGCTAGATTCTTATGATCTGTCCATATTTGTACTGGCTGCTCAGACCCCTCCAGCCAGTGGCACCACTCCTCCAGGGCCAATTTTATGGCCAGGAGCTCCCTGTCGCCGACGTCGTAGTTGCGTTCAGCGGGGGACAGACGACGGGAGAAGAAGGCGCATGGGTGCATCTTCTGATCCAGTCCCGAGCACTGAGACAACACAGCTCCAACACCAGTGTCGGAAGCATCTATTTCGACAATGAACTGTTTGGAGGGGTCTGGATGAACGAGAATGGGGGCCTTGGAAAACCTGTCCTTAAGGTCACGGAAAGCTGAGTCGGCCTCTGTGTTCCACCTGAACGAAGTCTTCACGGACGTGAGGGCGTGAAGGGGGGCGGCGATCTGACTGTACCCACGGATAAAGCGGCGATAAAAGTTAGCGAAACCTAAAAACCGCTGCAGCTCTCTTCTGTTCTCTGGTTCAGGCCACTCGAGAACAGCCCTGATCTTTTCAGGGTCAGACCGGACACGCCCCCCTTCCAGGATGAGACCAAGGAAGGTGACAGAGGGTTTGTGGAACTCGCACTTTTCTGCTTTCACAAAAAGCAGATTCTCCAGAAGGCGCTGAAGAACGAGGCGGACATGGTGTCTGTGTTCAGAGAGGGTTCGTGAATAAATGAGTATATCATCCAGGTAGACAAAAACGAAGAGGTTTAGGAAATCACGGAGGACATCGTTCACAAGGGATTGGAAGACCGCTGGAGCATTGCTGAGCCCAAAAGGCATTACCAGGTATTCAAAATGGCCCAAGGGTGTCTTGAAGGCCGTTTTCCACTCGTCCCCCCGGCGGATCCGGACCAGGTGGTAAGCATTACGCAGATCTAATTTAGAAAAGACCGTAGCGGACTGGACCGGTTCAAGAGCGGAGGAAAGGAGAGGAAGGGGGTACCTGTTCTTTACCGTTATAGCATTTAACCCACGGTAGTCTATGCACGGGCGAAGGGAGCCATCCTTCTTCGCAACAAAAAAGAACCCAGCCCCGAGGGGGGAAGACGAGGGTCTAATCAGCCCGGCTGCTAGTGACTCCTTAATGTATTTCTCCAAAGCCTGTCGCTCGGCCTGAGAAATGTTATACAGGCGACTGGCTGGGAGCGGGGCGCCCGGCAGGAGGTTGATTGCGCA